CCCCACTCTGTCTCTGGTGAAGCCTCTCACCGCCCCTGAGCCTCTGGCCTGTACCCCAGTTCTGTATGAATAAATAAATAAATCTTTAAAAAAAATAAATAAATGTTATGACTTAGAAGTGTAGTCATTAATTGTAGCCTCTTAGTCCTTTTTTCCATACATAGAGGGAGAGGAAAAATTGATGTGCCATGATGTGCCTATCATAATTCATGGGGCTGAACATCTCTACCTTCCCAAAGACAGGGAAGAAAGTGAAGTGGGTTATGTAGAAAAGTCACTATCTTCTATCAAATGTCTCAACATTTGAGAAAAAGAAGTATTGCTATTCTATAGTGACAATTATTCTTTATGTTCCTATTATCAGATATTAAATGAAATTCCCGCATGTCTGTTGATGTGACTATCACTTTCACCTCTGGCCCATTTCCCCTGGGGCTGCACCCACTGGGTGCTGTTCTTCTGAGCTGAGTGTGTGTCTACCTCCTCTCCTCCCAGGGTAGGCGCAGTTCCCGTTCCCAGGAATCTGAGTTAGACACCATGGCATGCCCCATCGCTCGGGGCCTTCCCGTCAACACATGTAAGTGTGGAAGCCAGCACAACCCCCCAGCAGAGGCTTTTCTCCCACTTCCTGGAAATCCAGCACACCCACAGGAATAAATGGAGAGCTCTTTATGTGTTTTCTGCAAATGTCCTTGGTCTATTCCAGTCTGCTAACGCTAGATTCACACCAGTGTACTGACCTTCAGCAAGGATCTGATGGGGGGAATCTCAGAGTACCTTGAAAAGCAACTGTTACTGGGTTTGACAGTTTATTTGGAAAGGGAAAGCTTTCTTTTCAAATAGGAAAGCTAGAACCACTTGGCTCTGGAGAAAATGTTAGTGAGAAGTTCAGACCTAGAGTTTGAAGAACTTAGGTACAGAGTTTTGATGGGATTAACAGAACATTAATGAATGTTACCATACATGTCATTGTAGTAATGACATGGTGAGAGGCGGAAGCTATCTGAGGAGTTGAACAGAGTTCAGTAAGTAGCAGGTTCATACTTCAACCTGAGCTTACTTCCTCACAGGTTCAAGATAAGTACAGGGAACTGATTGACCTGTATCTATAAAGAATATATTTTCCTGATTTGAATCACCTTATAGAGGCTGAACACTGCATTTATTCTAATCTACTCTACTCCCCTCATGGACAAGCACACTTTGGAGATATTGTGGGTTCATTTTCAGGCCAGCATGAAAAGCAAATACCAGAGTAGAGTGAGCATATGAATTTGTTTCCACAGTGCATGTAAAATGTTTACATTATCCTTTAGTTTGTTAAGAATGCAATAACATCATGTCTAAAATAACAATATATATAACTTACTTAAAAATCCTTTGTTAATAAAAA